CCCGGGCGGCCCTGCCGGAGACCCCAGCGGCGCCCCCGGCTCAGGAAGTGAGTGCAGCAGCTGCGGCCCCAGCACGCCACTCCCCCGCAGGCGCCTGGCAGGCGCCTGGCAGTGACCGGGGCTTTCTCTCCGCAGGGGAGCCTGGCACCAGCAGCTGGGAGGGCGAGCCGCCCCAGCTCCCGCCGCCCCAGCTCCCGCCGCAGGACGTCGCGCTCCGTGCCGGGCCCCGAAGAGGCAGGTAGGACGGGGCACACACGGGGCGCGCAGAGCCGCGGCACGGGGGGAGGTGACACGGGCGCGGCCCCACCAGCCGTCCAGGCGGGGCCTCATGCCAAGGCCACGCCGGCGGCCGGCTGGGGCTGCGGGGCGCGCTGCCTCGGGGGTCCGGTTCAGGGGCGCCGTGGTGGGGGCCGGGTGCCTCGGGGAGCTGGCTGCAGGGGGCACTGTGACCAAGTCTCGGAATGGGAAAAGGGGGTTGCGTGCGGCTTCCTGCGTTGGAGGCACCCCAGAAACACAAGCAGGAGCCTGGCCGAGGGGTGCCAGTGCGGACAGGCAGGGCAGGTGTGCGTGGGTGTGTGCGCGCAGGTGTGCGCAGGTGTGTGGGTGTGTGGGTGTGCCTGTGTGCAGGTGTGTGCAGGTGTGCGGTGTGCGGGGGTGCGGGGGTGGGCGCGGGTGTGTGGGGTGTGCACGTGTGCGGGTGTGTGCAGGTGTGCACAGACGTGTGTGTGTGTGCGGGGGTGTGGGTGCGTGTGTACATGGGGTGTGCACGGGTGTGCGGGTTGCGTGGGTGCATGTGTGTGCGTGGGGTGCAGGTTGCATGTGTGCGGGTGTGTGGGGGATGTTGCTGGTGTACGTGTGTGCGGGTGTGGGGCGTGTGCGGGTGTGGGGTGTGCGCGGGTGTGGGGTGTGTGTGTGCGGATGTGGGGTGTGCGCAGGTGCGGGGGTGCGTGTGTGCGTGTGCGGGTGTGGGGTGTGCGCAGGGGTGGGGTGTGCGGTGTGCGGGTGTGCAGGTGTGCGGGTGTGCGTGTGCGGGTGTGGGGTGTGGGGTGTGCGCAGGGGTGGGGTGTGTGGGGTGTGTGCGTGTGCGTGTGCGGGTGTG